TCAACAGAGCTGTGTGCGAACGTCTGCGTAAACCCTTTTATTTTCGGTTATTTTAACGCAGATGTCAATGTCAATTAATAACAAGCATTCTGAAAGAGTTGGCGGACTTAGCAAATCAAATCTAATTTATGCGTAGCTTTAAGTAAATAAAAAGCATACCTATTCAAAAAGTTCTATCAACCGCTTCATCACTCAGAATCCCAGCGTTCGGACCAACGATCTCTCTGATCAAAAGATGAAAAACTTTGCTCAAGCAAACGGTCTTTGCTTTTCAATTTTTTTTCTCGCTACAATAATTTTTTCCGCCGTTGTTACGAAACCAAGATATTATCAGCGGAATGACTTGAAAAGTGTTGGAACTGGGAGCGTTGAAGATGTATCACAAGAACGACGCGCAGCTTCTCCTGGCTGGCCAAAATATTTTTGCCATCACGGAAAGTGTGTCTCAAGAAGTGGCAAGCGAGGAATGAAAAGGGTAAGGTTTATACAGGGGTTTACAGTACAAATTTCAGATCTCGAATAACCATGTGAAAAACAGGAAAAAAATCCAGATATCTCTCACAACCCTGATCTGAACTAATTGTTTATCTGCTCGACAGGCTTTATCTGGTCTTATCAAATGGTAACTACTTGTCGTCCAGTATCCATTTAGTTTAAAAGTTTTTTTTTTCTTTTAGCAAAGGTTCAGATAACGCAAATAAGCTAGCTAAGGTTCCTTCTACGAGGAACTTTCAACATCTGCTTACAAAGATTGGTCGAGTGACTCGTTTAATTGAGAAAAAAAGGGTTTTTGGTGTTTAAATTTCGGCTCCATAAATGAAATTAGTAAGGAAATAATTTCTCGTTTGTGAATCTATAAAGCTGTTGAAAACTAAACCGTTGGAATTTCGGGTGTTTACTTTTTCTGCTTATTCCTTCGCGTTCTGTTTACCCAAAGTTTCAAAGCACCTTGGCAGATTAGCTAATTGCTTGTCGAATGTTGATTTGAATTAAAGCCTGAAATGTGTATTGCAAGCGTTAACGAATCTTTTAACTTGTCTTAATTTAACGCTACAATAAAGTAAAAATGAAAACCTGGCTTACGAAAAATAGCTGATAGTACTAATTTTAGCTTTTAGCTCATGAGTAAATTAAAGACATTTTAGGAGTTGATTTTGCATCAAGTTTCCGTTTATTTACTGAAGTCAGCTTGTTTTTAGCGGTTCTTTATTTACTTAATAGATGATTTTAATGCCGAATTCCCAGTTTATCAACCTCTAGTAAAAGCTTGTCAAAGAGTCTCCAAAGCTGATGTTTTGTTTTTCTTTTCGGAGGGAAAAAAAATGTTGATTTTTGCTTTTGGTTGAAATATCGTTGTGAGAAATTTCAAAAGCAATATCTTGGGAGACAACTGGACCGACCAGAAAGACATCTTTATCCTAGATGGACGCAAACTATGGTAACTTTTTCAGTAAGCTGTCTACAATTTTTTTCATTTCTTTTGTAATTCTTTTTCATTTCTTTTGTAATTTTTGTAATTCCTCTTTTTTTCTGTAATAATTATTCACGGTTATTTTTGACCCGACTAGGCAGACTAGTAAACGGGGCCTATCATTTTTTCTCAACTGAATTGTTACCCTTTCCGAAAAAAAAAAAAAAAACATCAGATGTATGTTTCGATCGATTTCCTGCAAATTCAGTTTAATGGAAAGCATCCTCAGTTTTGAACGCCTAATCTAATTGGCCAGGTGGATTAATTTTGAAATTCAAAGAAAAAAGAATATACCTTACGCTTTTTTCTTTTAACCCCATGAGTAGGCGAGGACACGAAGCTATAAATGGATAAATGGATAAACAAACAAATAAATAAATAAATAAATAGATAAGTCAAAAAATAATAAAAAGGTTATGTTGAACTGTCGATTACTGACTGTCGACGCATTTTGTTATCTTTGTGGTTGTTGCTGTTGCTTGTCTCTCTGCACTGTAGTTATATTACTAATCTTTTGCGCACCAAAAAGGCCGATATTTTTTGAAACCGCGTTTTTGTTTCCATGAATCGAACTTCCGTTTTCACTAAACCGGTGAATCCGCTCACGGAGCCTGCAGTTTTTGAAACCGCTTTCCTGTAGAGCGACTCAAGACCCTGTCCTCACTAATTTGGGTATAATTATACAGTGTAGTATATGCCCTTCCAAAAGTGTCCGGATTCGTTATATCGGTTAACATTATTGTAATGTGCAATGATCTCATCTGTGCCCACTGACACTCAAGGTGGCTCGGTGGAGTTTTCCAGGGTTAATGCCTCCCAAATTTGATCATTAACTACGTCGCCGTATGTAAGCAAAGATTTACAAAAAACGACACACAGCTGTATTGATTTAAGACAAGAGAGGATGAAGGGGACAGAGAAGGCATCCCCCATACACACTCTATTCCATGGGTAATTCGTCTCGAGTTATTTTTAGAATCGATATGAAGTTACCTCGCGCGCTGCGTGGATGTTTCGTGGAGGTTTCGGATGACGAAACGCCGTGCAAAAAATGTCGGATGAAAGGCCGATGAAAGCATAAAGAAATCGAGAGCATTCCTGATTATTGAAGCGAAATGAGTCGGCGCTCACCTGGGAATCAGTTTAACTCGAACTTGTCGTAACCTCAGTGCTTTCATAAGTTAAAATGAGAAATTTCGCCGGTCTATTGAAACCGGTCGTTTATATAATAAAGCAAGTCGGTCGCCATGTGTTATTTCTTGAATAATAAAAGACTAATAAAAGAATAAATATCAAACCAGAAATTGCTCTCTTCAAACAGTAAATTATATATGATCCGGAGAGAATGTTCAGTGTGTTAAGGATTTCCCTGCTGTACTGTTAGCTCTATACAAGAGAGGAAAGGCGATTCTTTTTTAATTTCCGTTTCGCTAACACAGCTTTAGCAGAAATCTCTCTGTAGTCGTTCTCGTCGACAAAACGAGTAGCAATGTCGCTGTCCGCGTCTTCCACCATTTTGTTCTGCGTCAATTCGTGAAGGACGCGTGGCTCTGAGCGGGGGTCATCCACGCGGAACATATTCACGCTATGTGATTGGCTGTTGTCTAATCCCCTTTAGGATCTGTGGTCTTAAAAATAACTCCAGACAAATTACTTGTGGAATAGGGTGTGTATGGGGATGCCTTCTCTGCCCCCTTTATCCTCTCTTGATTCTGGAGGCTTTCTCTTCGTTGCGAAGCTTTTGTTTTTGTTTTGAAGTTAAAGGTGAATACCAATCTCGAACAGCTCTTGACCTGCAATTACTCTAAATTTCGGCTGCTGAAGAGAATTCAGTGCCGCTGCTGCAATTTTCTCCCATATTTGTCCCCTCTCAGGGCTCCTCATAACCACATCATGTTCCGCAGTCCACTGGAAATAGTTGCCTCTATTAGCGGTTAAAAGCAACATATGAAATTAATTTTAGTACGAAAAAATGAACATTTATCCAATAGTGTAACTTAAAATGCACAAGAAACATAGACCGTCAGGAAACCTGACAAGCCGAACCTGAAAAAAAAAATATCAAGTTAGCACGCGAAAAAATCGACAAAGTGCTTAACATTTGGATTCTGCTGATCCACAAAGAATACATTCTACTTTGTACTGAATGACAAGGGGAAAAAAGAGTAATTTACACGCAAAAAATATAGTTTTATACTTACGTTTTAGCGACAACGACAAACCTCCCCGAATTTAGTCGACGAAGGCTGGACGACGTTTTCACAACCTTACGCATGCCCAGAAGGCTCGCGCGGGAAAATTTCACTTCCGGTCGGCGTCGTCCTCTCATTTCGTCGTCAATGCTTAAGGTCTCTATTAATGTTACAATGACATCGGAGTTGCCATAGTAACGAATGACGTAAGAACCTATTTACGTACTTCTCGGCCCTGGGTAGTTGACCGGCCCGATCATTTCGGTAGGTTCGGTCGGTTGGTCCAAATTTTCCTTTCCCATTTCGCAAAATTGTTGTCCACAGTACTGATCTTCTGAATCCTGCTTTCATAAGCAAACGCGCGGTGGCTTGGGTTTGGTCTGTGCAACCGGAATGTACCGTTCCGTAGGGCACGCGAAATTTTAGACCAGCATTTTCGTTGAATGAAAAGTGCCCTTTATCTCAACAGATCCAGGCCAAGTTTGTAAATGACGTTCAAAATCTGGAAAAGCCTGTGCTGCAAGATCTGGACATACTACCTGTCAAAACAAGGAAGACGACCCTGAAAGGAAGGAGAAATTCAAGAGTCTGAAAACCAACTGACCCAAAAGGCGGTATGTTCTTATTTCATTGAAACTCTGCAAGGATATTTCTTTTAAAAAAAAACAACAACAACAACAACAACTTCAACAACAACAACAAATAAACAAACAAACAAACAAACAAAAGAAAAACGTAATCAAGTTTGACAACAGCAGTTATACTGATACATACACACATATACCTGGATTTTGGAAAACCGAGTTTAAGCAAAAAAAAAAAAAAACAAAAAAATTCATTCTACTACTTGGCAATTTAACACAATAAAACGTCCTTCAAAGGTCGATTAAAAGCTTTTATCTGACGCCGGAAAGTAAGTGGTCCCTAGAAGTATTTCAATGAGTCCAATTTTAAAATGATACAAATTTTAATTTAGAACGTTTATTCAGTAATCTGCAGACTCCGTGATGTTTCAAACTGGTGTCATTTCAGTCTAGAAGTTTTTAAGTTGAGTGAAATGCAGCCAAAACGTGCCTGGTTAAGGCTTACATAACAACTTACATAGTTATTGAAACACTACTTTTTTCGCGGTACGACGAATGACAGGATTGTTCATGGAATAGCCAACAAATTGGTTGAAAGATAGTACAAAAATTATCACCTTCTTATCTGCAAAAACCGGCCTATGGTTCAAAGCCAAGAGCCCACTGAAAGTAGACCTAAATCCGATTTTCCTTAGTCGAGCATTGGTTTTCCAAGGCACAATCAGCTAAGCTAAACACCGACGAAACGTTTTTATGGCTGGCACAGAATATTTTGGTGCAACAGCTCAGCCACGCGACCACATACCTGAGGTCAACACCATCGGTTAATCACCCAATCACACACTTTCGCAGCACTGATAAGACTATCCACAACGACGTATGATCTTCTCACGTTTAACACAAGCGAAATATCATCACATAACGCGGAAACACTCAACCTATTGGCAGATAAACACCTCTAGACTTTTCTCTTACAGTCGTCTTATTCATTCCCGGAGGTACAATCACAAGGTCGGCAGACCAGCATAGTCTTGGCCCGGGTCAAAGTTCTCCTGCAATTTTGTTCTCGCCTAATAGATTTGACTTCTAGAAGCCTGTTTCCGAGGCCAAAGACTTCGTGGTCACCTTAGAAAAGCGAACAATATCGTACCTTTCTGTCTTAGCCTGGATCAGAGTGATTGATCCGTTTAGCCAAATGAAACGAGAATACGATACGATATTGGACGTGATGCAGACTCTGCGAATCGTATTAACTTTGTTCCACCTCAGAGCTTTACATGATACTGTCCGGAAAACTTTTCTTAAGGTGACCGATAACGAAATATAAATGCTAGGAGGCACGGACACCAGCTTTAACTGCCACTTGAGTTAGACAGAGAATTCTGGGTACACAGTAACTTTTAGAACTAGAAGCGCTTTTCGTAAATTTCAAGTTGATTTTAGGTATTAACTAATTAAAGATTTAAATTTTTGCTCTTTTTTTATGTTCTCTAAGGAAATATCATTCTCGCCCCTAAAACGATTTTTACCTTGTGGTTCGTCAGAAACCCACTATCGTAATTCACTGCCGTAAATCACTACCACTATCGTAAATCACTGCCGTAATTCACTACTTTGGCAATATTTAATTATGATCTTATTTTATTCTTTTTTCTTTTCCTTTGTTTTCTTTTAGGGAAAGAACTTACTGCGAATGAAACGGTTTAGTTAGTAAAAACTTTGCAAAATCTATAGATAGAAACTAGGATAAACATAACCTGTCAATAACTTTCGGTCGAGTACAATTCAGCGGAAATGCGTCTCTCTACCTCAATAAGCATCAGCCTTTTCCTGATATACAGCTAAATCAAAAAATGTTGCTTTGGTAATTGGTCATTGGTAATTGGGCATTTGGGCATATGAAACAATGCAATGATTTACTCGAGTGACCACCGAACAATAGCTTCCCAATGCGCTATTCCCAATGCCCAAACCAACCTTTATTGAATCAGCAATAACTGTTCTAGTGTGCCACGTAGTTCACGACAGATCATCTGCAGAGACGTCCTTTTTTCAATAAATGTCTTAAAATTTACAACGAGTGTCTTATTTTATTATTTCATTTTTTTTTTTGCATTATTTTAATTTCCCTAATTTCCCTGGCGTTCCCTGGGTGATTACTCGCTTTGCCGAAGCCATAAGTTATAATTCATAGCCTACAGATTTCGACTGCAATTTTTCTCCCACTGCATCATAAGACAGGTAAAATATCTCATACACCGAGTTAGCTTCTAAGACGCACGTACGCGAATGTCTCATTCAGCAATTTTCCCTCACCTAACCATAGTTAGTACCGGATACTAACCATAAAAGGCGAAAAAGATCACTGAAGATAAAATCAACGGTGCTGCAGTTTGTGTTGGGCGAACTCTATTAAAAATAATTATGGTCTACCAGAGCTCACGAACACGAAACACGAATTGATTTTCTGCCTAGACGATAAAACGTCGGCACCTGGAGTTTTCTGTAGCTGTTCGTTTATCCTTCGCGCACATTTTGAGACAAGTTTAGTAATAGTCAGTTACTATGGTTACGAAATATGACGTCATGAGTGGCAGCTGGTCAAGCCATTTTTGAGTGAAAATGCATGTTTTTTCAACTTTTTCAGCAATAAAAGTAAAACTTGTGGATGAAATGATGCAAAGCAATTATTAAATGTGGTATTTTACATGTTAAGCGCAAAAAATATTATTTCTCACTGTTTTTACCTTATTTCTGATTCTTGATAAAATATGAGATGGCGACCATGTTTGGTGATGTCACAGACCCCCCCCTCTTCCTTGTACCACTGTGAGGGTATGACTGCGTGTACATTTAGAAATGTTACTGACGAATAGCGTCATAATGTGTAAGAGTTACGGAATTAAAGTTAATTTCACTGACACTTAATCAGTCTGAAGGTTACAAAGAGCTGAACACTGGCGCATGTTTAAAACAACAACATTTCAGGGCCTCACACTGCCTGCCTCAGCTTCGCTAGAATAATTGTTAGGAAAAAATAATGAAAAAATAAAATACAATAAAATAACATTAAGTAAAAGGGTTAACACGCTTGCTACTCAATTTGGCGATTACCGGGTGAATATCGATTATCGACTTAAGACGACTACTTGACAGTTATTGGTCGAGGTTGAGCAAAATATCGTGATTTGTCAGTGGCGAGCAGATATTTGCCTAAGCCGAAGGCAGAGGCAAATAATTGATGTGCGAGACACTGGCAAATCACGATATTTTGCGATAACCGAGTTCAATAATTGTTTTATCATTCGATCACCAAGTTTGTTTTTTAAAGAATACCTTCGGAAAGCGAAACGATTTGCCTTTTTTCAAGCAAGAACGATCACGCGTCGTCCACCACTAGCCACCGACACGGAGATGAATAATTGTTTTAGTATATACCAAAAAACAGTGAGTTAATTGAGCACAAAAGTGATGATTTTTAACTCAAATACTGTTGCCAACGATTACAATTTTGGCGCGTAATGACCGAACGGCCACGGCCGTCGCTTTTTCTTGCCGACAAATAAAACTTTTGAAGGAATTTGTTTAGCTCTCGCGGAGAAATTTCTTCAAAAGGAGTTTGTGAATTCTTTTTGTATTGAAAATCATTCCGTAAAAAAAAAGATTATTAAATTTAGTTTTAAGATTATTTAAGAACAAGTCAACTAAATAAAGTAACGCAAGACTTAAGCTTAATTAGCATTTGTAAACAAAAGACTTTTTCACCGGTTTTATCGATAAATTCGAGTCAAAAAGACAAAGCTTTACCTGTTAAAACTTCCAAACCGAACTTCGTCACCTTCTTCGTGTATTTCGGTAACAGCTTGCTTGATTAGTTGTGAAATTTCTTTGTTTGTTACGGCAGCAAACCGGGAAGGCATTTTGCTCTCAACAGACCTATTCGGCTAACGTAGTGTTGTATCCAATTCAGATCTCTCGGGGTTAAGATTCTTTGTGCACTGTATTTGCATTATAAGGTGGCATTCGCATTTAAATGATATGGAAATTCCTGAAACAAAACGTTTTATTCCCAAAGGGTTTGAATTGGGTACAATATTGAGTTAGCCAAATTGGTCTACTTACGCGAGTTTGGTGTCGCTCGGAGGAACTGGAGGTGAATCAGTGAATAGTGCAGGATATTCATCGACTGAGTAGCCAATCAGAGCGCGCGAAAAACACTATCCACTGTTTTAGTATATACTAAAAACAGTCAATAATAATATTGATAATAATGATAACAATAACAACAACAAGAACAATAACAATAATAATAATAATAATAACAATAATAATTGAGTCAACATTAAGATCATTAATAGCAATAACAACAGTAACAACAACATAACATTGATAAAATAATAATAATAATTATAAATGAAATATTTTCCTATGTCACATCTAAGGTGATGACATCATCAGTCACGTGACTTTCTCAGTATTAGTCTTTTTTGTTGCTGTGATAAGATTTCATTATTGGGTTAAAAACAAATAGCATATTTGAGGTTTTGGTTGTGTGGAGCATCTAAAAATAACCAGTTTACGTCCGGCATTTAAAACTTAAGTGGATAATGAACATGAGCGAAAAGTCGGGAGACTAGGCCGAGGGCTGTAGACGGTCGACGTTTCATCACACGGCAGAGAAAATTTGCAGGAAAGTGATGTTCCACCTGATGATTTTTTTTGGTTACCAAATGAGAGACATGACGTCATCAGTCACGTGATCAGAGCGTTTTGAATATTTTAGTTCGTTTTTAGCGTACATTTTCGCCATAAATTGGCTAGTTTTTGTTGTTTTTCTCTACAAATCTTTACACTGTATTGCCCCTTAGTAATTATTATTCCATTTTAATTACTAAGGGGCAATTGAATTTAAGTGTAAATTGACCGATATTGCAAATTAAAATCTGAAGACTTACCCTTCAGACTTTGTAGAATCCTTTTGCAACTAAAATGTTTGTTTGCCGAAATAAATGTGCAACGATTGTTAATAAAGGAGAACTTAAAAAGCTAAAAGGATCTATTTGGCGGCCATATTGTTTTTTTTTTTTCATTCTGAGGAGAGAGGTCATGTAGCAGCTCTTCTAACCGGCCTAAAAGCCAAATGGTTTGCCAACCTAACCTAAAACAATGGAAATGATGATGAACAATGTTGTGTTAATGCTTTGCCCGACCGATGAAAAGACACCATACGAGCAGGGAGAGAATCGTACGGTCATACGGTTCAGTCGGTAGCCGCGCGGTTGATAGTTCATAAATTTCTGATACGTTCCCCAGCATGGAACAAGCCTGAAAGAGAATGAATGGGTTTATTGTGAGCTTTACGTCTAGCTTCGATCGGTTAAAGATTTCATTGGACGCAAAAATTAAAAAAAAAAAAAAATACGAAAAAGTAATCTTTGAAAACTGTCAATTTCCATAGAGAAGGAGTATGTTTTGGAGTATGGACTAGTTTGTACATAGTTATATAGAGAGAGTTTTTCGCATTTTTATAGAAATGTTTTTTGTTATAATTTCAATTTGTATTTATTTTTTTGGAATTTATTTATTTTTAGTTTTAAGTAATTGTAACGCAATTCAGTCTACGGACTGCCATGTGCATATGAAACTTGAAAACAATGCCAGTGAATAATGAGGACCCTCACTTGTAAACACAAAATCTGGGGGGAAAATTGGTTATGTTTGAGTCCCTATTTAAAAGCCTTTCCTGTTTTCAATGTTCTTGAAACTTGCAGGTAGTATTTCTTGACGATTGATCTCGGAATTGTCGAATTTATAAAAAAATTTATCGAGCGGTTTTTGGAAAAATGCGAAATTTTTACGCATGGACCAAATTACCTCCAAAAACTGTATCAAAAGCATCTGAATGCAAGTTAATAAAATTCTTCTTACTCGCAATCGCCCAGAGCAATTCCCCTCTTTTTTTGTATACAGTTTTCAATGGAATCAAACCACTATGAGATGAAGCCGCGTTCCCAAAGCTTATCATTTTCTTAAACTATTAGCGAATTGAGCGGCTAGCATGCTATTTCACTGCTTTTAGGATTCTTAAAACTGCATTTAAAAATATTTCGAAAACGCTCTCATAGAATTTCTTCAAACTTTGCCATAATGAAGGCAATTATGGCAGCTACATACTCCCCTAAGCGATTTCTTCAAAAAACTCCTGGTACAGAGGAACACAACGATGAATGAAAAACGTAATGGCGTCATTACGTTGCCATGGCGACTCCGATTGCATCAAAACCCAGATCATAAGAAATTTTCATCTTTATATAATACAGTTGTGGTAACCTTTTTTCCATATCTTTACTCATGCCGACGTAGTTAATGCTCAAACTTGGGAGGTATCAACCCCAAAAAATCCAGTCGAGCCACCTTAAAGTTTTCTATACATTTGTCTGTGAGAAAGTCCCGGGAATAATTACAGACAAATGTATGGGAAATTTGAAGCAAGCCTCTGGAAAAATTTAAGCACAGGTACGGCCCAAAAATCTTTTGGTGCAATCTTCTGCTTTTGTGACTTTAGTTTACAACTCATATTTTTTTCAGAACAGCCGTTTAACAGAAATTATTCGACAGTAGATTCTCATACAAACACTGTAATTTCTCACGCGGTTGCCTACTCGTCAAGATGGCGTCGAAAACCGTGACAAAGTCTATTAAGTTGTAGTTTTCTATTCAGTAAAGGTAATTCGTATCCCTCTTTTAAAATTCAATTTATTAATAGGCTTCTGCCGCGACTTAAGAATCAGCTGTAACTGTTGATTTTACTTTATCGTTGACATGATTTGTATGTTACTGGACATGATTTGTATATCAAAAAGAGGGATCAATTTTCATCCATCCATTTCAATAAAATCAAATGGAATCACTTCTCACTATAGCGAACAACCTCGAAGCGTGACTTTGTCATATAAATATGCGGTGAGAAGTGATTCCATTTGCTTTTTTGATGAAATTATTTTAACGTTTAAACTCGAAGCTCCATATAGTGTAAAATAATTATGATTTACCTTTACCGGTATCACTTGTAATAATAATACTAAAAATACTAACAATAATAATAAGAAGAAGAATGATAATAATAATAATAATAATAATAATAATAGTAATAACAATAATAATAATGATAAAATAATAATAAGTAATGGCAATAAGAATGAGTGGGGTACAATTTAGGGAGTAATCGGGCGGGTAATAATTATAGTCCAGCTGTTATCGACCAAAAATATAGCGAATTGTTCATTTTTATGATAAAAGCATGAAACTTTGCCAGATTACAATCAACCCTAAGACTAACATTTCTGGATATGGAGCCAAGCCAAATTCAACACTGAACACGAGTACTGCGCAGGCCCTAAAATGGCCTACATGAAAACGAGGCTGACAGTGGAAATGCTTCTAAAATACCGGTTTTTAAGTGTTTTGGTAAAAAAAAAACTTGTAGATATCGTGGAAGAAGACATTTGCTTTGCTGTCATGTTATCTTTGGTGTCACGTGACCCTTTCTTCCAAATATGGCGAAGCCGTTGTCGAGTGTCCTGTGCTGGAACTGTCTTTTGTGCATTTGTGCGTTTTAAGGGGTGAGAATGGGCAACGATTCACACAATTTTGAATAATAACACTCTTGTAACTATTTTCCAATTATCAAAGGTTGGATTTGTTTTCATACAAATGTCAATTACCACATGAAAACAAGGCAAGAATCTTTTAAACTGTTTGAAAAGCGTCCAGTTAGCACTGCGTGCGCTCATTTGGGGGTGGATTCAGATAACATTGCATATAAGCTTGAACTGATCAAAAGTTGTGATTGTATGGCACTCTGGCTATTATTTTCCATCTAAATGTAGAGCGCCGCTCAAAAACAAGGCAAAAATCCTTTTGATGATCTTAAAAGCTAACCTCCAGTTTCTTGCCTCCACGTTCGGATACTGCATTAAGCCATTTTATTCTCCTTTCAATTATTAACAAAGTCAATTACAAGGTTCAGAGCTGAATCCAGAAGGTGGTCCGGCCCAAATAGCTCTCTCCCTTTAATTTTGAAGAAATGCCAGTTTTTCAGGTAAAAATGAACAGGTCATGCAGTAGCAAGCGATCGTGCCTCCTCATATTTGTATTTGTTACGTCTAAAAAAATAGATGACAGGATAGTCTTGTGGAGGCCATTTTTAACATTCGCAATTTAAAGCTACCAAATTGATATTCCTTTAAATTTTATATTAACACATTAAAATATAAAAATATGATCAATCTTAATGTAATAAAAATAGCCATGTTTCTCCCCGTTAAGGACAAGATATCAAGCCTTTCAAACTCAGCTCCCTAACAATACGTCGAGCGCTTTCACAAAAAAAAACAAAGTTGTTGCTATGTATGTCCTCAAGGCAGAGTATATTTAAAGTGCATGCTTATCCCTTATAATTGAACAACAACTGAGCTACTTGAAATAGATGAAGGAATTAGCTTAACTTTACTCATATTTCTAACGGTAGTCTTTAATAATAATAATAATAATAATAATAATAATAATAAATACTTATATAGCGCCGATATCAATATTACTATTTTCATCAGCGCTTAAAAATAAAAATATTTCCAAAAAAAAATTACCACGACTGCATAAAGTATACATGCATAAAGTGCAAGAACTTACAAAAAAGAGTTAAAACAATTTTGTCAACACTAAAACTACAAAAATTACCTAGACAACTTAAATCGTAAGAAACTGCATAAAACCTACTAAAAACGAGATTAAAAAGCACATAAAATCACGGTAAATATAAATAAAAATGTCTTTAGTGTCTTTTTAAAAGATGCTACTGAGGGGCTACTCCTAATCGCGTAGGGCAATGAATTCCATGGTTGAGGAGCAGCAGCAGCAAAAGATGCGATGCTTGAAAGATTTCTCAGATAAATTACAATTTAGACACACGAGCTGTAGACAACTACAATACCACTCGATTGAATGAGAATTTTCGAATAATTGGCACAACACAACCACAACTATGTATGATTTGAGCATTTCAAGTCACTGTACTAGACGTGATGCGACACTAAGGCGGTACACTTTGGGTCCAAAGAGCGCTCGTTATCTTATAATTAGGGAAAGTTTAAAATCCAATTATCGACTTCTCGGTTAATGTTTTTCAGTTTAGGAAAGTGTACCTCTATGAAAGGCTCATAACCAATTATATTGGAAGAACTACAATATTTAAAATGGTACAGAAATGAAAATCATGGTCGTGTACTCATCTAAGCCGAGAAAATGTTATCTTTTTCTACCACAAAAGTTGATAATGTCAACGTTTTTGTGCATCGATCCAGCCACAGAGAAGTTGACCTTTTATGCGACAAAAAGTTCCAAATCAAAGGAAAATAGCCAAACATCCAACCATTAGAGCTGGTTTCTATCGCTAACTTTACACCCACAAGTGAATTTTCTACTACAGACATCATAGGGGAGTTAGGAGTGTATCCTCAACAGACCAGTTAATCAGAAACCAATGAAAATGGAAACTACTGAAAAATTTAAAATGCTAAGGATTTGTAGTGGGTAGGAAGAGATTCGTATGGGGTTTTGCGACTTGGGCGGCTTTATTATCCCACTCAACCCTTAGATCATCGTTCTCATAGCAGCCGTATATACAGCATTTTAATCTCTTCCACGAGCCACGTATTTCTGTAGACAGGTTGCTTGGGGTATTTGGCGCCATGTGTAATGACAAAGATTAGTTTCAGCTCATAATCCGCGAGCTTCATATTGTTCAAAATGCTCAGCAGGCAGTTTACCAGTACCAGATGAACAGCATCTCAGTAACAGAACGGAGTTGAAAAGAAGGGTGTGGCTCATTCATTGCTTATATAACCGCAAGCCATCTTATTCAAAATGACGGTAGGTGCACCAAGTAACGAATGTGTGTATCCATTTTTGTGCAAAGCAAAACAGAAACACCCTTCTAAAATCGGTGAAGAATAATAATCAAAAGAGTGAAATCTTTCCATGAATAAGAAGATGAGAATTCAAATGGTGAAACGAGATTTTACTAAGGAAATTTATTCCCATACTTTAAAACTGTGCTGCACACATCCCACCAAACATAAGTTAACGCTCTTGCATCTTGTTTGCATAAACTGAAACAGGCTGACAATTACGTCGTATTCCAGACATTTCAAGAAGATAAAGTGACCTTCATAGTGTTTCCTCAACTCGAGTAGTGCTCATGCAACATACCTGTCGAGCAGTGTATGAATGGGATATGTGTAGGGAACAACACTTCTGAGGCATACAAGTCTAAAGGTTTTTACTTTGCCTAAGGGCGGCTCCTGCTAAGGGGTATATCGTGGCAGTCTGTGGCTATGAACTCATTAAATGAAAGAAAAACTGCTTCTTTGGCAAAAATGGTGTACAACCTACTCTTAAGATACAGTGACATCTACAACTATCTTGAGGAAACAACTATCAGAAAAGGGGGCTCTTCAATTCCTTCAATATGGCCTATTTAAGGAAAAAGTCTATGTCATGTGACTTTCTATTGTCGTCTGTGGAGAAAAAAACTCCGCAAAAACGCCGTGCGATCACAATTTTTGATCAATTCAGGCTTTTAGGCAATGGTCTATGAATCCAACTCAAGATGACTGCACGCAGGGCTAACTGGAGGCTTTTCAAACCGCTGAAAAGATTTTTGCCTCGTTTTCATGTAATGATTTGCATTTGTATGGAAAAAACAGCCGTTGATAATTGGACAATAGTTGCAAGAGTGTTATCATTTGAACTTGCCTGAAAAGGTGCCCCTTCTCACCCCTTTAAACACACAAACGCACAGAAGGCAGCTTCAGCACAGGACACCCAACAATAGCCCGTCATATTTGGAAGGAGGGGTCACGTGACACCAAAGAAAGCATGACAGTAAAGCAAATGTCTTCTTCCACAATATCTACGACTTTTATTTACAGAAACACTCAAAAATGGTATTTTAGAAGGATTTCCACTAACAGCCTCGTTTTCATGTAGGCCATTTTAGGGCCTGCGCAGTACTCGTGTCCAGTGTTGAATTTGGCTTGGCTCCATATCCAGGAGTCTTAGGGTTGGTTGTAATCTGGCAAAGTTTCATGCTTTTATCATAAAAGTGAACAATTTTGGTCGATAACAGCTGGACTATTGCTCAGTCTTAGTCCTGAAATTACAAGCCCAGTTACTCTTAAACTGTACGACACGATGTCGTAACCAATTAATCGCGTCAACAAGAAAATGCAAGGATTTCAGGATGGGAATATTGGTTTTATAAATGTGAGCACAGTATTTTTATTTTACATCTGGTTACTGCCTCCAAAGCCAAAACATCATTGACTTCAGGAACTGCATCGTTTTCTTTACTTTTAAGGCTTTCCAAAAACAATAGTGCTTAATTACACTAAGGTTTTCGAAGTGTAAGGAAAAACTATCTATGGTAAAGACATTTTAAAAATTATTCATATGAATTGTGAAATGTAGTTATTCATTTGTTTATTTGTTTATTTATTCACTCACAAAACCTTATACAACGTGAACAAAAGTTGTTAATTAAATTATAAAATTAAAGTGACAAGGAAGCCTAACGAAACTTGAAGGTTATATTAATCTGCTTCCTTCAACTACCTAATGAACTAAATTCATGGCTGAGTGCAGAGTGAGCAAGATCAGAAAATTATGATCGGCTATCAGTGAGATAATTCTTTAATTTAAAAAACAAAAACAAAAACAAATATAGAAGGAGAGCTTTGTGAAATAGCCAACGAATTCCAGATTTTAGGTCCTTGATAAAGGATACTAAATTGCTTTAGAGGAAAACAGAAACGCTCTTCCCATTGATAACTATAAATGTGTAAATTAGATCTTCCTTTCAGTTACGCACTTGTTGACTCGTTAAAGTATGACATACTATTAAACAATTAGAAGGTGTTTTGTGCATAATGTTTTAAGGATGCGAAAAGATTGTCAGTGCAAAAAAGTGGAAAATGAAAATTTAAACTAGCTAGTGAAATGTTGTATTGCGGAAACATTGACCCACGCTCAAATACGAACGATAGTAAACGACTTCCTCAAACGATTCTAAAAAAGATCTATATATTTGGTTTCTACCACTTGATTTCCTCTGACTTCTTGTGTCTTTGAACATTTAATATTTGTCGAGTTATGGACAAAAAACACAGTTTCAAGAAGCGTATTTGCAGGCTGTTATTCATTTAAGTTGATCATGAACATGGAAAATTACCTTGAAAAGAAAGTTAGCCTCTAATCCGCGATAACGGGGGAAGATTTTTTATGGACGATTAGGATTTCCGTGTCTTAGGTCGATAATAAACATTGAATTAAATTAAAATATAATCAATAGAAAGAAAAAGAATAGAACATTTGGTAAGTTCACAGAGACTAACAATAGGCTTCATTCATAACCACAAAAAGAATAAATAAATATGTATATATTTTATTATTGATCAAATTCACTGCCAGATATTTATTTGGGGCAATTTTCACCTGCCAAAGTTGATCGACCAATCAAACAGACGGGTGAGGAATGCGAATGAAGTTAGAATTGCGACTAGA